CATGTGGATGGCACAACATTTTGGCAGTTCGTTTTTTTTCTCTACAAAAATTTGTGGCGTCAGTGAATTTCTTTGCTTAGGTAAAATTGCCCAAAATCTAGGTCAGTTGCATGTGAGTGGCAGATACCGTCAGTGTCTGCAAAAGACACATGCTCCTTCTAAATCATCCGTGCGTATCCTAAACTGTATCTTGTTAAATTTCATATTCATCTGAGTGTTTGAAAAACACCCAGACCTCAGCAAATACTAAATGGAACGTGCGTGCAATTCACGTCAAAAACAGAATATATATTGTATATGTATGCAGTGTGTAACAAACTTCACACCGCCTTGCCTACTCTTCCTCCTCCTGGGTGCATTAAGGCTGGTCCTAAGAAACTCCTCTTGAGAAAAAAAACCAAGAGGGGAAAGAAAACATGAAACACTGCCGAAAATCTGATGGAGTGCTTTCTACTCGAACGGCCCAATTCACAAAGACTGTGAATTTAATCATTCCCCCCCCCCCCCCATCATTAGCTGAGGAATCCAGAAGTGCGAGATGTCCAGCCTTTCCTTGTCGCCATGACGCAGCATCCAAGCCCCGTGGGAGGCCTTCTTCACGGACGCCTTCACGGACTTGGAGGAGGGGAGGTTGCATGGGAACGTGTCTCGTGGTCAGGCCTATGCTCTGCGGAATTGTTGAGCAGAGACTGTGATTTATGTGAATGCGGTGCTGGGGATGGGTAGTGCTCAAAGCTTGACCTGGACATCTGATAGGGGAGATTTTTGGAAAGTCTGCTTTTCATAAGTCACTGCGTCAATTCCTGCGAACAGTTAGAACAGTCAGAATACTGTTTGTTTTAACATATTTTCATGTACAATTCAAAATCCACTTATTTAGCGACTAGAAATTTAAATACATTAAATTACATTATTTGATTTTATGTATAATTTCCAAACATCATTCTTACAACAATTAAAATTAACGCAATATACAGTAATCAGGTGATGAATGGAGGAGGCTGGCAGAAAGCCGAAGCTTGTACTTGGCCAGGCTGCGAATTTTCTTTTCCCAAACTACATCCACATACATTGTTGTTTAGCGCCCTTTACAATACTTTTATGATACGTACGCAGGTGTATCCCTTTTTCCCCCAAGATTTGGTGTGCAGTGCGAAAGCTCATTTGATACAGATCTTGATTTTGCACCGCGAGGTTGTGGGTTCGAATCACCGTTTTGTACCCGAATTTTTTTTTCTAATCTGACATGTCTGAGGCTTCGGAGGACTTTTTTTAAAAGGGAAATAAAGTCTGCATTTCATTACGTTCAAAATCAGTTCTTTTTTTCTAATTTTATATTTTGTTCTCATGTATTTAGAGAAGTAAAGTCCAAAACGCCATAGCTTACACCATATGCGGATGTCGTTTGGGGAAAAAAATTCGCGGCGAGGCTAAAAAATTTGCGGCGAGGCTCCCGTGATTAAACAACCTGACCCTAACTTCCTACTGAGTTTTACTAAGAACAGTGAGTCCACCAAAATCCATCATTGACCCTGCTCCACATAATGTTTCAGGACCAAATCCGCTGAATTCCACCACAAATCCACTACTGCTATAGTTGGATTTTGATGGACTTGGAACTCATGGCTTGCCTACCAAAATCCCCCCATTTACCCCAAATGGGGGATCAATTTTGATGGATTTGGGAAGGTTTTAAGGGTTAAATTTTAACAACAAAGAAAAAACACTTCGTTAAGTAAATATAAAACATTTATAACTACCGGGTACTTATGAATTATTACAGAAAAACAGTCTTGATACTATTTCAGCATTAATATTGTTTCATTAATTATTACTACTACCGGTATTAGTTGTTCAGTTGAATTAATAAGCGAAAGATTGTAAAAATGTAAACCGTATTGAAATGTCATTCAAAATTCATTCACTGACATGTGCAATTTATAACAGAAAAATCATTTAGTAAGCGTCAAGGCACAAACTATTTTTATACACTGAGCATATGCTGCTCACTTTCTGTGTTCATACAACGCACAGGTACCGTGCACACCTGTTATTTAGTAGAGAGTGTGTATTTGAACATGTACAATGTACATTATGTATGCAAAAGGGCTGGACATTTTGCATTGAGGGGACTTGCACAAGTCAAGGTTGAAGCGGGAGTATATCTTTGACAACAGTCGGCATGGACTGTCATCTGATTGCCATCAATATAGATTTTTTCCCCCTGAATTCCGTGTTTGCGTTTGCCAGCAAACATCTCGCATGGAGCCATAGAATTCACATACATGTACAGTCATACATGCACGGGAACACGTACACAATATAAATACACGTATCTTTTTTTTTTTGTTATTTATGAACATGAGAGTTAATCTTGGCACCCGGCCAATTTGAAATAAATGTTAAAGTGGCCCCCAAAAAATTTGATTCAAATTTTGAATGGCTTATTTTATTCTATTGCATTTTTTTTTTCACAAACGAATGTTTGATGCACACTGCATTTAAGGGAATCTGCATGTCATAAGAGTAAGCTTGTGATTTATTTGCTCGTGTTTATAAAAATACCTTGATGAAGGGCAAAACCAAACATAAAAATAAGTGAACCCGGTGAATAAATTTAATGAACCCTTCTTCCCTCAATCCTTCATGAATTTTTTAGTAAGAACCATTCTGAATCTGTGTGTGACTGGATCAGTGATGCATTACAATAAAGATGAGGCTGTACCTTCCAAAATCTTATAAAACCCTACAAAAGCCTTTTAGTACATGTATTCTGAATCCATGAAAGTCCTGAATTTCTACTATGCCTACAATCCTCCATCCAGCAAATTTTAATTAACTCTCCTGTAGTTAGACCATTCAAAACACCTCAAAATCTGAGTGCTGGCAAATTGGAGGGAAAAAAATGCTGGACCTTTTAGTTTTACAATCCTCCAGAATTTATTGTTACTGCACTACCACACCTTTCATTTCCTTTCGAAAGGTATTGAAATGCAACTTACTGAATTTGCCCACAGAGTTGCTTCACCTTCCGAAACCTTTCGAAAAGTCCCAAAGTTCCAGCACTATATCACCTTTCAAAACCCTTTTAGTCAGGCAAATTTAAAATGTTTTGAAAGGTCTGATAATTCTCTTTGCCAACTGCACTGGGCATAGCAGGGTTTTAAGGATGTGACGTTTACACATCATAACGTTTAAACAAAAACAGTTCTAAATTCATTTACAAATTTTCCAAAAATGTTTCAATGAAAACCGAATTATAAAAATTGGGACCTATAGTGTTCATGCAGCTTTCCTTTGAGTTGAACCTATGTAGCACAAATAATTAACGATGTTTTCGGAAAGAATGTTGCAACCTGATGCTGCTTTTTTCTTCATATTTCATCTCAATGAAGGTCAGTAAGTGCAAAAATGATGATAAGACATGAATCTGGGACAGAGAACTATTTCCAATTTTGTTAGGAAAGACTTTGTACACAACCGCTGAAGTAGCGTCAGGTTGCAACATTCTTTCCATGTTTTCAAACCTAATTTACAAAACCTTTGCAGCGCTTCAATACTTTACCTGATTACAACTTCTTGGTATGGGTATGGTTGTGTAATTGCCAAGAGGCATTGGCACTGGTTGTCTGACTGCTGACACTCCAAGTATGATTTTTTTCGAAATACAATAATTTAATTTATAGGCAAGTTCAATTGCAGATGATTGCATACAATCCTGTAAAAAAAGACAACTGAACAATGTTATGCATATTTGCACAATGCACTTTGCATACTTTGGCACACTGCAGCTATTTGGATGACGTTTACCAAACTCCAAAGTCTATGAACTTCAAACTTGAACAGATATTTATTGCACAGTAAATAAAGGTTGCTTTCAAGTTCTATAGTGTATCAGAAAATGCTAATAAACTGACTAATATGTCTACATGTAGCATGTTCGTACTGGTAAATATCCGGGCATTTTGGGCAAATATGAGGGTGCCATTACATTTAGTGGAGAACAAACCCTTTCTATAATACAAAGTGTGTGAAAGTTGATGGATATCAATTTGTATTTCACACAAAGGAACTTACACACATGTACTTTGTACATACATTGAATTTGTTCTTGTGCTAAGGGCTGTCGAATAGGCTTAAGTAGCCCATGGGGTAGTTTGACTGTGCTGTGTACTAGCCTGCAGGAAGTTTTGGCATTCTGCTTAATTTTTGGATGGAAATTTCAAGTATTATATTAACATTGGGACATGTGGAAGCTCATCAGACACAGCATCAATGTCTTGTTAATGTAGTGAGCTGTAACTGAAAAAAAAGTATTTCAAGCAAGATTGTGCATACAGCCGTGTGCTTTTAAACCAATGGTACATGTGCATACGAAATGTAAGTATTTGTTGTTGTTGCTGTTTTTTATTAGGATCACAGCAGTTTTTATTCATACATACCGGTACCTGAGACAATTTACCCATTTCTATTGGTCAAGAACTTGTCACGTGGGTGGTTTTTAAACCGCCGATAAAACATTCTGCGCGAACACATATCATAGACATGGCAAGAGGGGTGTTTCAGAAAAAACATGAGGTAAAATTGCTGAACAAAATTGATGTTTGACTTATTTTGAATTTTGACTGAAAAAGGTATACATAAATTTATGAATGGGAATAATATGTGCTTGGCTGATCTTAAACAAGTACATTTAAAACCCGCTAGGGGATGGGTTGTGGAAAATGGCTTGAGCCTAACAAAATGTATACTGGGCTAGTGCTACATGAAGAACCTGGTGTATTTTGTATCAAAAGTAGTTTACTGAATCAAAATTAAGTGTTGCTCCTTTTTTTTACCTTTTGTTTTATTTTTGTTTTGGAGCGACTGTGCTGTGCGTTAGAGACAGTAACAACAACATACTAAGCATCTTTTTGCTTTCTGGATGCTTAGTCTTAGATTATACATTTGTAATTTAACATGTTTTGTTTTCTTTGTTTGTACCATTTTATTGTCAACAGCACCTGTACTGTGCTTTTGGAGGGACCAACAAGGGCTTGGTCTTCAAGGATCTGTTCACCGGCTTGGTGCTTCTGGCCAGGGGATCCCAGACAGAGAAACTCAAATGTAAGTCTCAGATTTGAAAGTTTAAGTTACATACAACATTTGCAAACACCAAAAAACAAAACTACCAAATTATTATAAAATACCGGTACCTTACTTGACTGTAAGTGAATAATACTCTCAAGCATGCCTCGAAATCATGGCACCTGGTGTTGCTGTCATTTTCAAGAAAAGTGGAATTTTTTTATCAATTTCCAAGGATGGTCGACCGACCATCGTTGGAAAAAAACCCGGCTTTTTTTGTAATGCTGCCCCCAATTTACCAAATTTAGTTAGTCCACATTTTGTTTGCAATTGGTTACACATCCGTGACCAGGTGCAAGCCAGCTAGTCTGGTTCCTTAACCTGACAATTCCCCGACGTCTATAAATTGCTCCATTTCGTCTGAAAGTAGGGTCAGTGAACCAGACTACAAGAACAGCATTTTTTGTCTAGGTTTTTCCAGCATTTACATGTACGTACTAAACTTTAGAAAGGTCATCGTAACAATATTTGTTATAAATGGCAGTACTAACCCCCAAATTCATCAATTTCTGAAAATTACAGCAAAAGCAAATGTTGTAGCCTATCCCACAATTTTTTTTTAATAAATACCGGTATGTTACAACAATTTGATGAAAAAATAGGAAGTTTACTTCCCAGGAAAGGTTTTCAAAAAGTGCTCAATTTTCTCTGCATGCTAATTTTCTCTTGGGGTTTTGTTCGTGGGTATTTTTTTTGGGGGGGGGGAAGCTTGCATTTTTCCCTGAAACCATACAGTCTGTCTACAGTTTTCGAACAACCAGTGCAATGTAAACAAGTTAAAGATATCTTTTCTAAGGATTTCAAAAGTCCTTCAAATCATTAAAACCCTCCTATGCAAACAAGCATTCTGTGCCAAGTTGTCCTTTCAGTCAAAATCAACGAAGTGACCGTTTCCAACATTTAAGAGCTCCCAGCCTGCATAAAACAGGATTGACTGGCTGTGACCGTTTATGTAACTTGATACAGCTATGGAGCTATGCTTTGACTGTAGGTAATTGAATGATAAGCCAGCTGTGCCTACCACTTGCCTGTTTTGTTTTGACTGAATTTGACAAGTCACAGTGCTTGCTTGAAATATGATCTGACTGTTGGTGACTCCTGTGTAAAAGGCATGGCAGGGCAAGAGGATTGATTTTTTGACTGTCTGTGATTGTTCAGATATAGCAGTCCTGAGGGTTAACACCCATCATGTCGTGAACGATGTTGTTCGTTGACATTTAGAAACTAATGACACCTACGGTACCAACGCCCGTTGGCCATATCTTTATCTTTTTTTTACCGAAGAGCAAGAAAGGGCAATCACTCACTTCATGCACATTGCACAATGAGCTTAAGCACTCAGTCGCCCATTCATCACCCTCAAGTGAAAGTGCAGAGATCATGATCTATAGTGTAGGCTTAATGTTGTGAACAAGCTTCCGCGAGATGAACACGATCACTTAGCTTTTAAAGCAGTTTCATAATGGTGCTATCTTTTTCGCAGCCATAATTCACTCGTGTACATTATCAGTATTCCATCAGATAGGCCTATGTATTGGATTGGATTGCAGCACGGTATTGCCGGGCATGATTTTGGTCCCCCCCCCCCAAAAAAAGACACATCGTTATGGGCTCCGTGCGCCAACAAAAGAGGGTACGTTTCACCACTTTTGAGAGCTCCGTAGATGGGACACACAGCGCAAGTGTACTGTACTGGTTCGCGCGAAGTACGCACGACTTCCCAAATGTAAAAAGGCTGTTATTAGCCACTACGTCTTCGAGTGAGCATTAGACGTCGTTGCCGCGCAAAAACGTTCAAATTTTAACTTGCGATGGTCAGTGGTCTCCCAGACTAATCCCCGCCCCCAATAACTTTGGATCATTCGAAATATGCAGAGGATGGACTGTGAACCAGTCTCCTCAAACTCTCCTTTTCTGGCCGTTAAAGGGGTACTTGTGCACGGATCCCATGGGCCTTATTCACGAGTCGGCCATATTGAATTGAAAGTGAGGTAAAATCTTAACTTTTGGAGCTTGCGAAGAGATATGAAAGCAAGTTAATTCCTAATTAATTCCAGTCTGCTTCAATGAATAATTTTAAATTTGAAATTAATTGAAAATTCCCTAATGTTTAAAGCCAGATTGAAAAAAAGACAGTTAAATAAGGCTGCATTGTGCCTGCATAAATAGTCTGGCGCCATCCTATTAAACAGCCAACTCATGAATGAGACCCATAGGGAAATCGTAAACTGGAAGCAAAATTAGGGATTATACATACGTACATAAAGTATAGCAGCAAAAGTTTTGTCTAGATACCGTGACCACAAAGGAATTTATAGCTGGAGTCCATCATTTGCAGCTATCCAAAAAGTAACTGGCGTAATTCTTGTTGAAAAACATACTTGGTTGAAAGATAGTAAGGGGACTAAACTCCCTGTGAAATTATTCTTTCTGGAAAGCTGTCATTTTGAAGAAATCAACAAAAAAAAGGCCTTTCCAACGATGCTTCTTAAGACGCACCGTAGGAAATTTAAATTAGTACAATGTAGTTCGTTTTGTTTTGCAGCGAAGCGCGCGCAAGCATTGGCACGACGCACATGCGCGCGCGGTTGCTATAATTCGTCGGATCAGTGCGCGACATCGCGTAGCTGCAATCGGCTCATTGAGAACGTGTCTCGGACGCTGAATTCAGGCCCAATTCAGCATCTTTTGATTTGAAATCAAGATCCTAGAATGCTGTTTTTCTCGGAATATACAGCTGAAGCTGAGCTGAAACTTCATCAGGTTAGCTGTTCAATATCCTTCTTTAGATTTTGAGCAAGTTTGTTGCTTCAAACGAACAAAATGCACAAATTACAAATGATGGACTATACCTTTAAACAGTTACATGTACTGGTACATTGTACTTACCGGCATATTAGTGCAGATATGGCCAATTTTTTTTTTCTTTAAAATGACTTTTGCACACAGCTGGCTTCTTTTTGAGGGAATATTGCGTTATTGAAAAGCCATAGTAGTTGATAAGTATTGCAATATTTCAACATCATTCGGTACTGTTTGGTATTAAAAAAAAAATATCGTCACTATGGTGTTATTGAAATATTGATCAAGCCTAGTTCATTTTGGCTAACAGGAATTGAAACGTGATAGTTTTATCTTTTAACCTTAACCTTGATGCAAGTGTTTTGTTTGTCAGAAAGCCTGACAAATCCAATAATATTATTGAAATTGGAAGTGGCTGAAATCTAACAGGATTAAAGAGACTTGTACAATGTACATGTGATGTACAATGTAGGTCTCGAGACCTGGTCTCAGACTCGAGACCATCTCGAGACCCGTTTTTTGCCAGTGGTCTCTTGCCAGTGGTCTCGGCTCGAGACCAACAAGATTGCAATGAGAAGCACTTTATATGTTTTTTCTCTGTCTCTCTCTCATAGATATTTTTTCAGTCGTGTTTCGACACAGTCATAAATAAGCGTTGGAAAATTAATGTTACATGATGATGATACTACATGTACCGGTACCTTTCTTATCCAGTATTTTATGTACGCGTATAACGGCAAATTTACGGTACGTGTAGACAGGTTCACGCCCAAAAAAAGAAACGGAAGCCAAACCAATATTGGACAGACAGGGAACCATTCAGAGACTGACATGCATCCAAAGACAAAAGTGAAATATAAATGAATATAAATGTTAAGAAATTCGATTTGTGTTAATATAATAATATTATTGTTTACACAAAATGTGATCATTTTATTGTGCTGCAGTATACATGTAAGCCTTTGCGCGACCAGGGTTTGGCCAATGTCTGAATCTTCTGGTTATTGCCAGTAGGACGATCATGCACAGTATCGGACAATAGTGTGCAAATACCCCCATTAGCCCCCACTGGCTACGCCTCTTTGTCAGATTGTTGTGGACACTTTTACTTTTTGGCGGGGGGGGGGGGGGGGGGGGGGGGGGGGGGGGGGGAGGGAGGGGGGGAGGGGGGGGGGGGTGTCAGAGCAGGGGGAGGTTTCGCCCTTCCCCCCAGCATCTGCGCCTGCTCAGTCAACATTCTGATTACGGTACTTAAAGGGAATATACAACATTTGCGTTTGCTGCAATTTTCAGAAATACATGGATTTGGAGGATTAGTATGTTATATAGCAAATATTGTTGAACTGACTTGCTTCACGTTTTGAGTTTGGAGATGTTGGAAAATCCAAGAAAACCAACCATGATCTTGTAGTCTGGTTCCCTGACCGCACGTATGAAAAACAGAGCAATTTATAGACTTTGAGAAATTGTAAGGTCAGAGAATCAGTCTACCGGTAGCAGGCTTGTACCATTTCACAGGTGTGTAAACAATTGTAAAGAAAATGGGGAATAACTAAATATGAAAAATAAGGAGCAGTTTTTAAAAAAAGCCAGTTTTTTCCAACGCTGGTCGGCCGACCAGCGTTGGCAAAATACAAGTTTTCTTGAAAATGTCAGCACACCAGCAGCCACGATTTACAGGATTTTTTGAACTGTCATTCCCTAACAATCCAGTAAGATGTTTCGTGATAATTTGATCATTTTGGTTTTTGATGTTTGCAAATGTTGTATCCAGGGTGACCGTTTTAGCCGAATTTCGGCTAAATTTGGCAGAATTTTTCGTAAAAAAAACAAGTTTGACAGAAAATTTGACAGAGTGGATTTTTTTAACAGATTTCTGACAGAATTCTTCAAAATGGTTATTTTCACAGAATTAAATAGCAAATTTGAAAAAAATTGTATATTTGTTTTAAAAAGCTTCAATCTTTTCAAACAAACACTTGTACATGTATAATGGACAGGTTGCCTGGTGTAGGTGCTTAGCTTCAGAACCGGACTGAATTCGTTGCGACACAACCGCATTTTATGCAATTTCATGACATCTTTATGTGACTATAAATTGTTTATAATGTAATTTGAACCTGAATTAAGACAATACTACGGCATCTGCGTGTGATTTTAAGTGTTTATGGTGTATT